TTAAAAAATAAACTTTTAAATATAAAAAATTCATTACAAATATGTCATATTATAAACTTATGATTGTAACTATAACATTTTCAATTCGTCAGAATAGTCTACTAGTATTACACCAAACTTAAACACGGTCGAGGTATAGAGTAGCCTGGAACGCCATTAATCATTTCCAAAATCATAATCTTGTCCAGTTAGTTACTTCCTCCCTATTTATTTCTTGATTAATTTTCTTTATACATTTCTCTGTATGAAAACTGTTCCCCTACAAACACAAAAGGGCACACAATCTCATACAAACAGCAGTTTGCTTCCACTTCCAGAACTTTCCTCCAAGATCTCATCAGTACCGCAGTAGAAACAAGCAAATAATCTACATACCAATCCAGAGAGATTGTTAGTGCCTAACAGTAAATAATCGTCTAGATACGCCAGCCATTCTGCCTCTTTGCCTCGAAGGAGGCACCATCATTCAGCATGTCCTGAGCATCAGTTTCCATTCCGAGCTTTGAGAGGGCAAGAGCTTGCATGTAGAATGCAGTAGGCCACTCAGGCAAGCACACCTGAGCTTGCATGGCATCCCTCAACGCCAGTTCTGGTTGACCGATCATCAAGTATGAAAGGGCGCGTCTCACAGATACAGTGCCAGAAGGAACGGACATCATTGACACCAACTGCATTTAGACAAAAGATCCAATATTTAAATGTACAAGGCTATGGCAGTTCAGTAAGGAGCTGAAATTCATGAGCTAAGAAAAAGAAAAGGGCGTATTGAACAAGTGAAGAGATGAACATTGGATGCCGTCCCGATGTTTCATGTAATAAAAAAGTGGTAAATTATGCTGACTAATTTCAAAATATAACATTCTGCAAGTTGTTCCTGTTCATAACGTAAAAATACAAAGCAGAAGAGGAGGTTGGTACCTTTGAGTAATAATCAATGGCATTCTTAAAATCCTTGTCCCTAAATGCAATATCTCCAAATTTCTTCGTATTCAACATATCTTGAACTTGTTGTGTCCACTCTTGAAATGAAAGCTTCAGAAATAACAGGAAGCCAGAAATTTATTACATCATGTGATATTACTAATCCAACGACAAACAATTTAGTAGGCAAGTGGGCAAGTATATGCATGACTTATTAGAAAGGAGATAGGAGGAACAAGAAGCAGAAACAGTCTCCTTGTATTGAAAAAAACAGATGTGCAACCAATCAATGTATACAAATAAATCTAAGAAAAAGTCTACTATATAATCCTTTTAGCTTTTCTAAAAAATTACTGACTCTTAATAAAATACTAAACCTGCTATCATGAAGTAACATGGCCATAACCCACCTCATTTTCTGCACCCTCTTCATCTTTATAACCAGTTTTTAGCAAGATATCGTGTACTGCAGTTAGGTCCATCCTTGCACATGCCTTACCAAGTGGAGAGAGCATGGTGGGCAGCACCACTGGAGTTTTCGAGAGACCCATCAGAACAAGTGATGTAACCTAGGAAAAGCAATGTGAATGGAAACAATTAGTCCAGCAAAGATGCATCTTGCCATCCACACATCACACTATCAAGACTTGAAGCAGCTTCCTCACCACCGCCACCATATAAAAGAAAGAGAAAAGTAAGTTTAAGGACTTTAAACTCCACCTCTTTCTGCTTCTGAAGGGGTGCCACAGTGGACATGAGAAACTTGATATGTGGTCGATCTCTAGATTCATTCTGAAGACATTTTGAAGCCAGTTCAACCAACTCAGAGGCATCTTCATTGGCATATTGTCCTTCTAAGGAAGAATCCATTAACAACAACAAATTCTTTCCCTTTATCAAATCCAGTGCCTGGAAAATTGAGCATCATGTAATGATGTCAAATAAAATCAATATAAGAAACATCAGCCCAAGATATAATTGTGGCATGGGGAAGCACAGATGCTAAAAGAAAGAAGATTCATGTCATCAATCGAGAATATTAGGGGTAACTTAGAAGGGACATAACTTTAAGAGTAAATTGGGGATGGATTTGGTATGAAACCAGATACTGGATAAGAATCAAGATAAAAGATCAAAATGTATCTTACATGACTGGGAGGGATATGCTTTCCACTCAGAAGGTCCAGAAGAACAGTTCCATAACTGTAAATCACACTCTCTGGGATGACCCTACCTGCAAAACTTAATAATCCAAATTAAAAGCAGCCAAGGCATACCCATTCAGTAATGAAATACTTGTAATTCCAGTGGGCTTGCCCAAAAGACAATTGAATTAAACCAAATCACTCTAACTAAAAAAGTTAATGATTATTCAATTGAAATGCTGATAATCTTCAAGCATCCTATCAGTAAACTTTGATGGTACACTGTTCTAAAAAAAAGTATACTTTGATGGTACAAAGTAATATGTACCTGTCCGCAAAAACTCGGGTGGAGTGTAAGCCAAATTAGTACTATAACTCTTTCCATCTCTGCTATTCTTCATTAGTCCAAAACTAGACAATCGTGGGTCACCATCCTGACACAAAGATGATACCAAAGACATTATCCAATGAATTATGAGTCAAGAATGGAAACCACCACCATCCCAACCAAAGAACACAAGTGGCAAATGTGAAGCAGAAACTGACAGAAACATTGCATACTCAACAGGATAATGTGTAGTGTTTTTATAGTTAAAGGGCTTAATGAAACCTTGCTTTGCTCATATGTAAAGTGAATCCTTCAATTTTGTTTATTATAAACCACAAACACTCTTAATACCACACCAGATGTGTACCAACCATCTAGAAGATTCTCAAATGAGAATGGACTATATTTTGAATTCCTGGAGATAATTAAACCTAACACCTATCCAGGAGTAATCTGATTCACAGATAACACGACAGCAAGTATGATTCTCAAAGACAATTGAATATCACTGATGGGAGATTAGATGCTTATATTTTTTTATGTATAACAATGAGAGTGGAATTAGTAAAAAGTTCACAAGAATAAGGAATCATCATTTTTGCAGCCAACTTATTTGCTTAGAGTTGCCCAAGTAGAATCCCCCAAAGATACAAACATCAAACCAGGAAGAATTTTCAAAATAATGGGCACCAAACGAGCCAACCACAAGATAAACTATTTCTAAAGCATTGACACACTCCATTCTCTTCTGAATCCCAACAAGAAGTCCTCCAAGCTCCCAATCAGTTACGTGATTCCTTCTCTAGAAACGCTTCAAATTTGCAGGTGCTTTACCGTAGCCTCACCTTTTGGCCGGAACAATTCATCAAAATAGACTTCTAGTTAGTACTACTCCCTTCATTCGCAATCTTTCTCCAAAAGCATTATCACAACGGAACAACTGAACCCCACAAAACCAAAATGAAATTCAACCCAACAAGTGAACTCTATGGCAGAAAGTAGCAACCACCATGGGAAAACCAAAAATTGAGAACAGGGAACAAAGTGCATGAGCATTCAGGCAAAAGAACTCCCATGTACAGTGAGCTTACTACCATTCAACATATATGAACAAATAACAATGGCATACCTCATCGAAAAGGACTCTGTATGCATTTAAATCATAATAGATTTTGCGGTTCTGTATATTGCAATGATCAAGTGCTTGTGCAATATAGTACGCAAGTCTGATGCGCATTTCCCATGGCAATGGCTGTTTTTCCCCTGCAGCAGACAATTACTGGTAATGAAAGACAAAGAAAGGAAGCATCTTTCCGAATTGGCATGTCATATTGTCATATCAGTATCAAAGAAAAAGTTAAAAAAAGAATAAAGACAACAAAACCGCACAGTGAAACAGATGCTTGGAGAGGGTATCATTAGGCATATACTCGGCGACCAACAACCGCTCGTCTCCCTCGGCGCAACAACCGATCAAATTGACCAATCTCTTGTGCCGGACTTTCCCAACTCCGACGGCCTCCGACAGAAACTGGTTGGGGTCCGGCCAGGACTGTCTGGAGAACCGCTTGATGGCGACAAGACGGTTGTTTTTCAGCTTCCCTCTGTACACCACATTGGGAGCCTTCTCTCCACTCTCGGACACAATGAGGTCGCTGCTGAACCCATTGGTCGCCGCTCTTAGCTCCGCCAACTGGAACTCCTTGAACCCCGGCACCGACTGCTCCCCGTTCCCATCTAAAACCGCCAATCGATTAACATTTACCATCAAAATTTTTTTTAAGAAAAAAAGCCAGAATCCACCCACAAACTTAAATCACTAAAAAAAAAAAAGAAAAAAAAAAGGAAAAGTAAGGCGTAAAAACCTAGATCTGGGTTTGTTTCAGGTGGCGGAGGCTCTTGATCAGGGGAAGGAAGATGGGCGGTTTTGGACTGACAGCAGCCCATCACAGTCTACCTTCACATATACCCAACTAGATGCAGCTTTGAAACCAGAAAACCGATAACAGCTACAGAAAGAAGTGAACTTTTGTGGCTCAGGGGAGTCGACTGAGGAGTTGAATGGAGGTTCCAGTCGCTTTCTTCTTCCTCAGATAAGGTAAGGGTAGTGGGGAGCAATACGCAGAAGTCTGAAAAACTAAACCTTTTTCACACCAGAGTGACTGAAGAAGACTGAGTGGAGAAGGCACATGACATGCTGACCATCCTCACGTGAAGAGAGATTATTTTTTATCCTTTTCAGAAAATTGCGCTAGAGTGGTTTAATTAGAATTTTTGCCTTGATTTAGTAGAACATCTTCTAAATTAATTGATTTGTAGATGTTTTATTTCCTTATCTTTTACCTCATCATTTTTAATGGCACGACATTTATGAATCAAGTGACGGTGTAATTCTCACTATTTTCATCTAATTACAATAGTAACAAAATTTTATCATGTTACTCTTTTCTTAATGATTTAGTAGATGATTAAACTTATGCAACTTATAACTTAGTGTGATTTACTGTTATAATTTTTGTAATTTTTACTACTCTACTACCTATATAGGAAAGATGTAAAAAAATAAAGAAGAAATACAAACCTTTCATGATCTCTTTACCTCTCTTTATTTTATAACAGAAGTATAATTTTATATCTCAGACAAATTAAAAAGTACACTAAAATCCCTTTCATATAGAGCTGGCAAATAGGCAGTTGGATTGGGTTTGAGTTTGATTAACTCGGGTGACATGTTATACGTGTTAGATCGTAAACATGTTATAGGTTAGAAAAGTTAAACCCTAACATGACCTTAACGAATTATAGCTTAACTTACAGGTTTACCTTATTTTTATTCTTTATGATTATTTTTTATTAATTTTTATTATATACAAATAAAATTATATATATTTAAATCTAATTAAAGTACCACAAACAATTAAATTAAAAAAAAAGATATAAAGTTATAAATAATAATAAGTTGATTAATAATAATAATAATATTAAACGTAAATTATTTAAATTTCTTGAAAAATAAAGTTTTAACTCTATAATTATCTTAAAATATTATCAAGTAGTTTAAATCATTTTTTAATGATGAAATTACTCTTCCAAGATCATCTTTCACTAAGTTATTATATTTATGTCATAACATCATCCTTTTAACATTTTTAGTTGTATTGTCATTTCATTCATAATACTTGGATAATTGTTAATACAAAAAAGAAAAATGATACTTGGACAATTAGATCAAACTCATCATAATTTTTTTGTCTTTCTCTAAAAATTAGGGAGCATGAATTAATGGAAGGAG